GCTGGGAAAGGCAGTGGACTTTTGCACCCCAAGAGAATGCAATCCTATAGAATTGAGGGCAGGTCTGAAGCATGGAGAGATGGCTCAGTGGTTAAGAGCACTGGCTGATCTTCCAGAGGACCAGGCACCCACATGGCAGCTCACAACTGTCTGTAACTCCAGTTCCGGGTATCTGATACCTTCACACCAATGCACATAAAATAAAGTTAAATAAATTATTTTTTTAAAGGTGGTAGCCGCTAGGTGGGTGGTGGTGACATACGCCTCTAATCAGAGGCAGAGGTAGGTTTGAGGCCAGCTTGGTTTACAGAGTATGTTCCAGGACAGCCAGAACTGTACAAAGAAACCCTGTCTTGAAAACACAAAGGAAAAAAAAGAAAGAAAGCAGCTGAGGTGGATGTTCAGGGAGTGGACTCAATGTGTGGTGAGTAGCAATTGTGTGTGTGTGTGTGTGTGTGTGTGTGTGTGTGTGTGTGTGTGTGTGTGTGTGTTCACATGCGTGTGTTTATGCATGGTATGTACTGTATGGTTTCTGTGTGTGATATGTGTGGCTTGTGCTATGTGGATGCTCTGAAGAAGGGTGTTAGGGAGCATCCCCAAAAGAAGCCCTATCCCAAATGGTTTCCTTCCAGATGACGATTGAGAAGCTAATTTAAAAAAAAAAAATAATGGTGCCAGGTACCACAAGAGTAACAGAACTGTGCTGTTTTTCTGGGATTTTGTTTTTTTACGTTTTTTCTTTTCTTTTTTTTTTAAATGGAGAGTGCTGGATGTCTCTACAATTTTGTTCAAATGACTGCAGAACCTGGAAAAGCTGTTGCTGCTATTGATGCATAACATACTGCCATTATAGGTATTTTTATATAAATATAAATATATATGTATATACATATATATACATACATATATATATATAATTTGAATTTTTGGAAACTTTAGCTGTGCTGTCAACTTTGGAAAAAAGTATCCCAGTTTACCGTGTTGAATTGGCATAGTACAGAAATTAACAGCCATATTGGTCTAGAAATGTTGAACTTAATTTTTTCCCCATTTGTACAGGGGGTAGCGCATTGTATTAAATATGTAAGGTCTTAAAAATGTATTTTTGTGCGTATATGTTCGGATATGCGTGTTTAGAGTCCGTACATAAGCAAGCTTGTTCCTAATTTGAACTAATAAAATAAAATAAAAAAGAAGCCCTATCCCTTCTAGTAGTGCACCCCTTAAATCATACCAGCAGAGGCCAGTATCATGTTCCTAAAGCCTGTGGCCTCCTCTCAGGCAGCCACTGATTTAAGGACAGAAACAAAGGCCCAAGACATGCCTCAGCCAGGGAAGGTGCTTCCTACCAAATGATAACCAGAGCTCAATCCTGGAGCACCAAATAGTGGAAGAAGAGGACGACGGCTGTGGGCTGTCCTCTGACC